CGGTGCCCAGTTCAGCTGCAGGGTAAACCGCCGCAGGGTAAACGCAGGCGGCCCTGCAGGCCCACAGGTGAAGGCCGGTCCTGGAGGTCAGCAGGGGAGGGAGGGGCTGGTCTCTGTGAGTCATTTTCTGGCTTCGGTTCGTTAATGAGGAGGGTCTGCGTTGCTTCTCGATTGTTGCACAGCTTGGTGATGATGAACCCGGAGCGTGGGCGTCGGGCAGGGCCCTGCGAGGAGGCTCCAGGTGTGAGTTGTCCGCCCTGCTCAGCTCTGTTTACACAAATTGTTTTTAATTTTATACACGTTGGCTTCACCTGTACAGACCGTACATCACGCCAAAGACGGCACAGCTCCCGGGGTCGTGATAAGAGACACTTTCCTACTAGATTTCTGAAGACAGCCTCTAAAACATTTTTCTAAATCTGAGTTTCCAAATGCCTTTAAAGCTTCCTTGGCTCCCCTGCTATAAAAAGCCCCAGTACTGTCTGCCTCCCGGGGGGAGCCCCCAGGGCGATACCAAGAGCCTGTGAGATGGTGGTTCCCCCGACACCTGGGGTGACACCTGGCTGGCTGTGCAGAAGGCCCCAGGGGCCACTGCAGAGAAGGCTGGTGAGGCTCCACCCCAGCCCCTCGACACTCAGGAAATGGCTGCATTTTTTCATGTCATTCCTTTCAAATTATGTCCCAAACGTGTGACTGATGATGGTAACAAAGAATTTTGGAAGTCACCTTCCTAACTGCCTTGCCTCTTATTTTCTGTTCAGTCCTGGAGGTATGGGCCCCAAGAGGGACTCGCCAACATCCTAGGGGAGGGTCAGGCCTGCTCTGTAAAGACAGGGGTCCCTTGCGGCTCCATACCTGGCAGCTGCTTACCTGGCAGCCTCACCGGGAGCCATGCCCGCGTCGCCCACACAGAGAGGACACTGCTTTTCCCGGAGGGTGGTCCCGTGATCTCTGTAATATTTAAGGTTAAAACCAACTGTATTAGGCAACAGAAAATGGCAAAACCACTGCCACTCCCGGAGCTGTCTGCCCGCCCAGGTCGGGGGGTGGGGGAGAGGGCTCCTTATCAGAACCGAGCTTGAACGGGGAGCGTGTTCCCAGGCTTGTGCTCAAGAAACGGGTGACATTTCGTCAGTCTCAGCTATGCTTCCGTGTCATTGAGTCTATTCTGCTCGTCAGTTTATTAAGTTCTTTAGATTCCACGTATCAGCGAGATCATGTGATATTTTTCTTTCGCTGCNAAAAGGGACATCTGTACTGTAATACTTTAAACAAAAATAAAAATTATAAAAAACAAAACAAACAAACAAAAAACTTTAAAAAAAAAAAGAAACGGGTGACGTCCTAACCAAGAGGGAGCAGTGTGTTCAGGGGTTCCCGGGGAGCCCGATTCCAGCAGCTACACGGTGCTGCCTCCCCAGGTTTCATTTCCTCCCGAGTCCACAGACCTTCAAAGGGCTCAGAAGGGAGTGGGGGCAGGTGCAGATGTGAAATGGCTGAGAAACACCCTCAGGTGGGCATCCCTTTCGGTTAAAAGTCTCTGGTTGTCTTCCCCTGGTCCTACTGTGTGTGCAATTTTAACCACTGCTTTAAAAATCTACCCTTTCATATAAACATTTTCCATGTTATGATGAACTCCCCACAGGCCTTCTTTCCTGGATTGTCCAATAATCTATCCTGGAAACCTTTCTTAACCGCTCCCCTGCCGAGGGACATTGTCCGTTACCCTCTGCACAGCTATCTCCTCTGGCCCAGGCGGGGCAGAGGCAGCCAAAGGCCATCGGAGAGACTGGGGGCCAGCACCGGGCACAGCTGCCTCCCCGNGTTTATTAAGTTCTTTAGATTCCACGTATCAGCGAGATCATGTGATATTTTTCTTTCGCTGCCTGGCTTATTTCTGGAGGGGGAGAGAGTAACCAAAGAATTTATATGCATATATGCACAACCCAAGGACACGGACAATGGTGGGGAGAGGGACTGGGGAGGGGAAAGGAACGGGGTGGAACGGGTCATTGGGGAGAAAAAGG